TGTTGCATGCTGAAGTGTAAACAGTTGTGCTGTGCCTTGGCCATAGTCACTGGGGGGTTTGGTTTTCAGGCATTCCATCAGTCACAGCTGATAAGTTGGAACAATTGGCAGGAGCTGCTCATTTCCCAGAGAGCAGGAGAAGCTGAACCCGCTGGGGTTGCTGGAATCTCTGCACACTTAGCCTGAGGCCTGCCAGTGAGGTGTGTTTCTGATGGCCTGTCGTTTCTCTCTGCAGCCTGGTCATCCAGTGGAGGTTTGTCAACAGAGTGCAGAAACAGATGAATGCCTTTCTGGAGGTGAGGCTCTCCAGCTGCTCTCTTCCACAAAAATAGCTACTTTTTCTAATGCACATTTCTCACCCATGGGTGTCCCTGTGAAGGGAGAGGGGAGCTTGGCAGGGAGTGCTTAGGTTTTATGCTTTTACCTTGGGTAAGAATATATCATCTCTCCCACATGAGAACAAGGTCATTCTCATTCAAGCTGAAATTATTTGAGCTTGAAATAATTTAATTATTACCTTCTTTAATTGGGATTTATGTGGGATGAGAACTTTAACTTTGCTTTGCTTCTTCTAGGGATTCACAGAACTGCTTCCTATTGATCTGATTAAAATCTTTGATGAAAATGAACTGGAGGTGAGTCAGTTTGGTGCCCAGAGCCAACAGCTCACAGACAGATGTGTCATGTTCTCAGCTCTTTGGGCCGAAGTGAATGTGCAGACAAAGCTGCCTTGCTCAGAGTGGGAAATTAGAAGTTTCTCCCTAATTAATAAAGCTATTCATCGTGTACACATACAAAGAACTGCAGTTACTGGGGGAGGAGGTTGGGTGTGTGCCTGTGAAAGCCTGTAAGTAGCTTAGTGGATTGGTGCCAGTTATGTCTGGGCCAAAGACCGTGACAGTTGCTGTCATGCTTCTGTCACAGTGTGCAGTAAATGGAATACTCTGGGAATGCTCCTTGAGAGAGGCTCTGACCCTCCCGTGTGTTTGCGTAGATGACTGAAGGTCAGACCTTGGGGGGGTTTGCCTTGTTTTCCTGAGAGTATACAGGGTAACACATCCTCATCAGCACCCAATGCTTTGCCTCCCTGTGCAGTTACTGATGTGTGGCCTTGGGGACGTCGATGTCAATGACTGGAGACAACACACGATCTACAAAAATGGTTACTGCCCCAATCATCCAGTTATCCAGTGGTTCTGGAAGGTAATACTGCTTCACCACCTCTGCCTGTTCCTAGAAGGGAAACTCTGCCCTGTTCTGCAGAGTCTTTTGTGAAATCATGTTTCTTCATGAAAACCACTAAGAATGGGAGGGGGTGTGTTGTGCTGGGCCCTGCTCCCACCCCACACAGGTGAATGGCTCGTGCAGCTCCTAGCTGTTGGCTGTTTTGCTGGGTTTGGTGTGCTCTTTAATCCTGCCTTTAAAAGCTCAGGTATGGAAACAAGCCTGCTGGTCTGTATGTGTCGCATAGTTGTGTGTATCTGGGCCCTGGGCTCACCTCTCCCAGGTGAGTGGCAGTTGCTGGTGCCAGAGCAGCCTCTCCCCACTGGGGCCTAACTACAGCTGGCCAAGAATGCCCATGCTTGACCAGAGGAAAGCATCTAGACCGGCCAGAGACTGTCTGGTGTGTCTCAAGGGTCGTCTCGTACAAATAGGTTGTTTTTGCCGAGTCTGGTGTGCTCTTTAATCCTGCCTTTAAAAGCTGAGGCCTGACAGTCTGCATTTGCCTCAGGCTGTGCTGCTGATGGATGCTGAGAAACGGATCCGGCTGCTGCAGTTTGTGACCGGGACGTCACGTGTGCCTATGAACGGATTTGCTGAACTTTATGGTGAGCCAACCCTTGACCCCCATGGCATTGACCGTTCGGTGTTCGTGGCTGAGCTTACTTCCTCTGCATTACACAAGCTCTGCACCGAGGGCACTAGAGAAACAGGCTAACTGGGCTGGGAAAGAAAAAGTCACATTCCTGTTGCTTTACTGTAGCTGTAACAGGTGAAAATCCAGCCCAAAGCGATGCCAACGTTTCGTGTCAGAAATAATGTTTCGGCAGTCTCCGGAGTGTCCGGCAAGTCCTGTTTCATCCGATTTTCATTTTCACCCAGGTTCAAATGGTCCTCAGCTGTTTACAATAGAGCAGTGGGGAAGTCCTGATAAGCTGCCCCGAGCTCACACCTGGTAAGTCCCCAAAGTGTCTGTTACAGAGCTGTGGAAGGGCCAAGCTGCCACCTGTCCCACCTCTGGCTCAAACAGCTGTTTGTCCAGTGGGATGCTCTGGACCTCCACGCGTGTGGGTCCCCAGGGCCTTCACAGACTATTGAAGGATATTATTTTGTTTCTCCTCACCCCAGTAAGAGGATGTAATGAACTACAACAAGTCTGATGTCACCAAACAGCCAGAGAGCCTTTTATCAGAAAGCCCATAAATTGTTGGGCAGTTCAAAACAAATGTAGGGACATAAGATGATTTGACTTAACCCTGATTTGTAAAATTTGCAAACGTGGAAAGCATTCAGTACAAATCTGTGTCCTGCAGTCACGTTTCAGGAACGTGGCTTGGTAAAGAGAAATTTTGCTGAATGGGAACACTGATTTTTAGAACAGCAGTACAGACTGGGGATCTTTCCATGAAAATAATCATTCTATGGCATAAGAAGCTTTATTTAAAAGCAACAGAAACAAAAATCCCACCAAACACAAACACAACAACACAGCCCTGAACGCACTCCAAAATCAACTCATCTTCTTTGGGTTCTACTTACCTGTTAGATTTTACCTTCGCAAGACTCTTGGGTGTTCACTCTCCTTTTCCCCCTGAGAGCAGAGGGTCTGTCCTCCAAATCTGGAATGCCTTTGCTGAGCCTTTTGACAAAGATGAAGTGTTTTCCATCAGTTAATGCAGTGAGGGTGTTGTGTTGGCTTTTTTCCTTTCCCAAGCGGTTGTTACCAAATTCCTGCTTCCGGCTCTGCAGAGGAAGGCAGCGCAGGGCGGTCGGAGCCGCCCTTGGCTCGGCAGGGCCCGCGGTGACGCGGGAGGTGCGATGGGGTCACTGTGGACACCAAGTTCCATTCCTTATCGAGGCCCCTAGTCCTGTAACCCCTTCTGTGTCTTCGTGCCCGCCGTGCCCCGCGTTGAGCTGTTGTCCTCCCTGTCCCTTGCAGCTTTAACCGCCTCGACTTACCTCTGTACGAGTCGTTCGAGGATCTGCGCGAGAAGCTGCTGATGGCGGTGGAGAACGCCCAAGGCTTCGAGGGGGTGGACTAGGCCCCGGGCGGCGGTGCGGCCGCCCCGGGCGGC